CGCGATTTATTCTTTCCGAAGAGCTTGTATACAGGCATACCTATATATTCGCGGATCACGTCCGAAAATAAAATCGCGCACGCGATGACACGTCCACGACGCTGAAAGCGACGCGTAGCTTTGTTCTGGCGATCACGCCGAGTTACACTCGGCAACATCAAGTTATTGCCCAACTCTTGAACATGTATTTTCGAATGCGAACACGCGTACATTCCGCGAGGTCTATCCCGCTGATTCTTGAATATGCATGAACGATTGAATTGAAATGTCAGTGGTCGCGTAAGAAAATGGATGATAACTCTCTCAAAGTCCGAGAGAATTCGTTGGCATGACCCCCCTGAGAAAACGTTTCTCTAAGAGGAGATTCATCGGGAAATGTATCAGGATTAGATAAAATTTTTGTTGACGACTCGTACTCGTTTCTACTAATATAGGTTAATTTTAATCTTGGTTCAACTAACTCTGTCTTTCTCCCCCCCCCCTCTCTCTCTCTCGTTTTAAGAATCAGAAAAAAATAAAAAACAAGTTGAACCAAAATTTAAATTTAAATTAATTACATTGGGTTAGAAACATAATTCTTAAAACTAGAAGGAGATAAAGAATAAATTAAATCGAGTTTAAGCTACATCTTAAAGTTAATGTAAATTCATGGAAATGGACCAGTGGAGGTGGACGTGTTCGTGTTTCGGTTCGGTTGTTGCGTCATTTTTTGGCCCGGTTTTTCATTACCTGATTAACTTGTGGTCAGTCTAATCTGATGTTTTGATCCAATGTGCTTCAATGTGTTTGTGATGTCATGGATGAAGCCCATTGGGTGAAGGTTAAACTCAAATTAATCATAATGAAAAACCTTTGTCTTTTGAGAATTTTTGATGAAACTCTCCTGATCCATGAGCTTATCTCATGCATTGACTTCGTGACTAAATATTATATTTACTGACTTCGCAAATTTATTGTATAATTGTTTTGTGTTATTGGCTGAAACGATCTTCGTTATAAGTCTGAGGCTATTAAAGTTGAAAATTAAAATTAAAGCTACTCTCTAAAACTTTTAGTGAAATCTCACTCTTCCGTTTCCACCAATGTAGATTAATAAATTGATCTTGATATAACTTACTGTTCATCTTTTTCTAGTTTTAGGAATCAGAAAATTATGAAGATTAAATTGAATTGAGATTAAAATTAAATTACGTCATGATTATGAGGTTAGCGAAAATGGACATTGAAATTGAAAATTGAGACACTTTTTTTCAGCAATATATATTTCACAAATAGTAAGATTTCGAAGAAATAAATTATAAATTACTCTTTTTCATTTTCAAGACTATCTCAATTTTCATTCTGTAGAATCAGAAAAAATTTATTAGAATGTTAGCCAATTCAATTAGATGCATTAATGCATATTAAAACCGTACATTGATTTAATCTGTGTAAAAGTAAAATGCAAACATGGCAACATAATTTCATACATATTTTAATTCGTTACTAATGCAGGTGTTAGTTTTAGTTTACGGTCTACTTGATACTACACACAAATATAGAATCAGTTTTCATTTTAGATAGTTTAAAATTAATTCATGATTATTCTTTAAAATCATATCCAAATTTACAAGTAGCAGCAAGAATATTTTTACCTATTCCAGTAAAGTAGCTTCACGTGAAAGAAATTTTAGTTAAAATTAAAATTAAAAAAATTATTTAAAATCATCACTAAGTCAAGAAAGATTACCAAATATAGAAATTCTTTCAATTGAATATAAAATAAGGATATATGTAGATTTTATAATACTTGATTTGCAATTTTTAAAACATGACTCATTATCTAACTTCAGTCTTATCCATATTCATAGTCAGGCCTTATATTTAAGACTTCCTTAAATTTATCTTTAGATATTCTACGAATTATTTTATTGACTGAACATTTAAAGATGAACTTTAGAAGCTTTAAATATAAAGCCTGGCTATGAATACAGGCATTAAGCTGCAAGAAATTGATCAATTATCAAATCAAATATTTTTCTCATATTCAACTGTGATCGGTTAATTTTTTTAACTTAAATTTTTTGAACTTAAAATTTAGGATTTAGCTTATTGTTAGAAAATTCATTAAAGATTAGGCACACAAAAAAAACTTAAGCAGTAAGCAAATGAAAATTTTGAATTCGTTACAGTTTACCTTACGGTCTTTAGTGTGATTGGCCAATTCACTCAAGTTTTGTGTGACGTAGCTTTCACAGTTCTCTGATGACGAAGACAAAACATTCCGTACACAAGAGCGTTACGTCATAAAGAGAAACGCCTTCAGGCACTCGTAAAATCCTCATCTCGGAGAAACAAGATTCGCTTTATTTCGTACCCTTCGATTCAGAGCACAGCATCTCGCCATGCATTGAAACGCTCGTTCGGAGGAGGTTGGCGCGTGGCGAGGAAACGGAATGTAGCCTGCGGTGACACCGTTGAGCGCGCAGAAAGGGCACACAATATAAAACGCAGTTCCTTCCGTATTCGGGATTTATCGTCGCATTAAACCCGACCCGGAATTCGTCACGCTAGATTCGACCCACTGTCGTCATTCGATACAAACGAAGAGAAACGAAGAGGAAACGAGCTATTGCATTCTCATCGTCGTCGTCGTCGTCGACGGCGGTGGCCGACGGGCGACGTGCTGCGAATATTGCAAGCGTGTGCGCGCGCGCGCACTCTTCCCTCGGGAGGACGTCGCCGTGCATGTGAAAATGCGAAAAAACGTACTTCTGTGCGCTCGAGGACAAACTTCGAGAGCGAGAGAGACAATAATAGATAAAAGAGAGGAACCGCAACTCACCTTCGCGGTTAGCAGCGGCGACGACCGATCCGTGTCGTCGCGCAATCGAGACCAACGGACACCAGCAGGCTAGTTACCAGACTTCGACCGCGGGTTAGAGTTCATAACCTCTTCTAACCTTTACCTTTTCGCCTCCCCTTCCCTGTCCTGCCGCCACCCCCACTTCCTGCGCGTATATCCCGACATCTCGCGTCCTGTGTCATCAAGTAAACATGTTATCGCAAACGTGTGCATTCGGAACGAACGCTCAGTGAGCTCTTCCATCTGATTGGCATATTCCGTTCAATTCTAATATGTAGACCAATCAGATGAAAAGCTCACAGGACGCAGAGAGCGCTCAGTGTCACCGTTCCGTTGTGGTGGATTTTCGCGAACACTGCGCCGCGATGGGATAAGCGCAAATTATCAGGACGGCGTCATGTTGGATAAAGTTCATTGGCGGGACGAAAGTTCGATTCGAAAAGCGGAAGATATCTTAGAGGCCCCGCATAATAAAAGGAATAGGGAACAGAAAATAAGAATTTCAACCTATCAAAAACTGTGTATTCTATAACACATGATTTCTGATGGGTTGAAATTTTTATTCTCTGTTCCCTGTTCCTTTTATTGTGCGGAGCCCCTTACTCTCTAAATTCTCTCTTTAAATTCTTTGGTGATATTTCACTCTAAAGAACAAAAATTCAGTCAATTTTGAAAAAGAGTGGCTCAATTTTCAATCTTTTTTAAAGAAATTTAACTTTACTTACTTTAATTTGGTTCAATTTTGATGTACTGCACAAAATCGATCTCGATGAAGCTTTAAAGATATACAGGGTGTCTGGAATTTAAATGTCAAGGCAGGACTTTTTTTCTTAGTTTATCAATCCCCAGCAAGCTCTTAAAATTTTGACATTTCCAAATTCCAAACACCTTGTAGGTACATAGTACTAAGCAAGAACGGTATTCATAATCGATTCTTATATTCAAGACCATCTTAAATACAAACTTAAGATGTCACGAACCAATCAGAGGGCTGTATTAGTATCTTAAGACATTTCTTAAGACGATCTTGAAATAAGAATAGACTATGAATAGTTCCTAATAAATACAGTCAAATCCATGATGCGAAGTTGCTTAGTTTCCAAAATATTTGATTTTATATAATCAGCTTAATTCGTTCTTTTAAGATTTTGATAAGAGGCAGTAATTTGAATTATAAAAACTATTTTGTTGATTATAGATAATTTTATATTATATATTGCATTTACGATGCTAATAAGTTTACATTTAAATTTGTTTTTAGCATTTTCGTTATATTTTATCTTATTATTAATGTAATGTGTGTATGCAGCATGCACTACATTAAAACTTAGAGTTTACAAGAATTCTCGAGAACAGTTTCAAAATTTTTTCCTGAATGGAAAATAAAAAATATCAAATAACACATTAAATATGAAAAAAATTAGTTTATTGCAAATACGTCGCACAATGTGGGGTACATAAACTTTCATCAGGTAAGCTGAAACAGCCACTAAACGCAATGTGACTACTGCTAGTATCACTACTGTCCTTAATTTAATCATAGTTATTCATTTTAATTGCACTTCTCTTATACTTTGTTCCTTGTCTCTTTTTCTCTCTCCAAAGCTCGGATATATACCTATTTCGTTTTAAGCGTAGAAAGCATAAGAAAGTGCAACTAAAACGACATTACTATGATATTTTTCTGAATTTTTACCTAGTAAATATTCAATTCTGTTGTACGATAATTGTATGTTGTACGATACATTCATACATGCATACATACATACATACACACACACACACACACACACACACACACACACACACACACACAAATATATAATTTTCTATCGATAATATGAGAAGGCACGTCACAAAATTGGACCTATTACTAGAAATATATTCTTATGTTTAAAATTGTCTCTAATTATAATATAGTGAAGTTGAATTGCATTAGTAGTAGATATTTACATAAACATCGACTATACATTAAATAGATGCATAGAATAATTATGAATTGGCATTCGTTATAAAGTAGAATTAAAAAAAAGCTCAGAGAGACTATATGTCAGTACAAACGCGTAATTATGTTTTATCCGATATTTAAAAAGTTTTAGAAACGTCTGCCCTCTTCTGATTTTCTTGCTCATGTCTTAACAAATACCTAAACTTATACGTTTTCGTTTTCTTTATTTTTGGCTTATTGCACAAGTTTCCTACAAAGAGAAGACATCTTACGTCGGATTATCTTAAAACGTGGCCCTGAAGTTTTAGTGATTAAAGTAGTATAGTACTTAACTAACTTTGTGTATCGTTGACTTGAGAGATCAATTTCATATCTTGTGTAAAACTTAATGTAATTTTATGAGAATTTAACGCATATCACCGTACATTACACATTGCGGATTATGTACATGAACACTTTTTTTTCAATATCCTAGTATTGTGTGGTAAAAATAATACTAACAATATATGTGATATTATGGCAGCAAGATATTTTGTATTCATAAAAACATCTTGTCATCATAATATAGTTTTGGAAATGCTATATATTTTATAGCACATAAAAATGTAATGTAATAATCGAAACTATCGACGGAATCTATCAATTCTGCTGAATTGACAAACATAAATTCGTTTTGATTTCAATTACATTTGTGTAACGGTAACAAATTTTATGCTTAAAAGCTATGTAATAGTAACGGTACGAAGATTTAACATGAATTGCAAACTAAGAGAGACTGGCCTATTATGCGATGTGTAAAAACAAATTAATCAAATACCATATCTGAAACTTATTAAAATAACGAATTTTTTTACTAAATAAAGATATGGACTTGAAAGAAAGAGAAAATCTCCCTTAATTTCTTGACCTACCGAAAAAAGAACGTCTACATAATATCTTTAGATCTTTAGATGCATATTACCTTATTATCATTTTATATAACTTACCGCCGCTAAAATTAATAGTAAAGTTTATCATTACTAGTAGTAAACTAAATAGACGCTAATATCAAATGTAATTTGTCCGTATGTCAAAGGGGTAGAAAGCACCGTAATTTATACACATTCCAAAAAACAAATTATAATTGTTCTGTTAATTATTCCAGGTACGGTAAGTTGATCACAAAGATTCTGCACATTTCCAATAAAGGCAGAGTTGCTAGCAGATGTAGAATCCCCACAAAAATCCACGTAAACATCTATCAAAGTATCGTTAAGTGCCGAGGAGGTATTTCGTTTTTGACTGTAATTTTGCATCTATTATTAACCCTGAACTTAGTCTAACAATAAGTTGCAAATGTCGAATCATAAAGAATCTTACTCACATGGTTTAAAATTAGCTCGCATCGGTTAATGATCACCAAATACATCCTGACTAGCGAACACAACGTACAGAAAACCATCTGGATCCTTTTCATTTTGATAGAGCTCAGCCATAGTCAGACTACCGCTTACCATACTTTTCTGATTCACTAATAGGAAAATAGCTTGCGTCGGATTCAATTGTAACCGACGTCTGTGCAATACAAAATACTTAATTAAGTTACTTGTATTTTATAAAATCTTGTGAGAAATATATACAAAGAAACATACCTGATTATTTTGCAAAATTCCGCCACAGTTAGAAAATCTGGCACTAGAAATTTACTTTTGTCCAAAAGTGGCAACTGATTTTCTAATTTGTAACGCTCCACAATAATAGGGATTTTAGTTGGATGCAGCTTTCTGATTTCCTCTGCACTAACAGATCGCTGCTCTGGATTGGCAAAAAAAACAATTATTTACATATTAATACATATTTCACATCGGTGTACAATTTTGAAACATTTCTTAATCCATTCGACCAGAATAATAAATTACACTTGTAATCTGATTAAAAATAAATCCTCGATTTTATTTGCATAAATAACTAACTTCTTGAACTAACTTTCTTTGATGAGTTTTAAATACAATTCTATACAGTTATGTCAAAAAATTTTATAGTGCATTTTGTTCACAGCAAAATAAACATTGACCGAATTAGAGAATATAATCATTATTCAGATAGCGTGGAATATTTCAGTAATGTTGTTGATCATACTCTATCTTGAAATTCATTCAGCACAGATCATTCCAGCATTACAGCAATACTGCAACGTTTCAGCAATATTGTAATAAAATAGCAAACATTACAATAGTCATACTGTAAGCTTCTCTATTGTATGGGAATGTTATTTTACACAATTACGTCTTAAAATTATGGAAAATTAAATGATGCATTTTGTCAACAAAACAAGCGCGCATTGATCAAATAAGAATATGCTGGAATGTTCCATGCTACCTAGATATCATGTTTCATGATATGCAATAATGAGCTATGACAAAAATAATTCAGTCATACGCCTTTATCAATCCTTGGGGGCTCCACGGATTTCAAAAGAGAAGATTTCAATTGCAGCTTCAAGAAATAATTGTTTTCCATTTGGTGATACAATTAAGTCAACACAAACATCGTTATATCTCTCTTGACTCCATTGAGAAACAAAGGCAGAACGATACTTATGAAAAGCTCACTAAATGGAAAGCACCCATTCTTCGTCTTAATCAATTACTCAACACTCACTGAAAGATTGTATTCTTTTACGATATGATATTCACTCAGAATTCATTCTCTACGTTAAAATAACGTTATGCCATATTCTGGGAAATCGTAAATCTAACTAAAAATAATATCCGAGATAAAGAAAATGTGCAATAAATCAAGGAACGTTCTCCCGTCGAATCGTATCAGTTGCGAAATAAAAAAATTCCCTTTCCACGAAATACACACACAGTAGCAATTCCAGTTTTAACGCCTTTCGTCCTTATGCTTCTCACCCTTTGTTTTCAACTTTGTTTTCAACCCGCTTTGTTTCTCAACGCTCGCGCTATCACACTTGTCGATATTAGCTCGTAAATGAACGCCCCTCGCAATCGGTTTGGTCGTTGCAAGAGAGATCGCAGACGAAAAATTATAATGAAATTACAATAGAAAGTAATGAAGGGCGTCTTCGATCGTTCGGAGAAAGTCAAGAAGACTTTTAAATAATCCAGGTTCTTCTCTCAGATCAGGGCATCTATGGAACGAGTCGGAATGGATTTCGATCGGAATTATTCAATTATTAACTAAATTTCTATTGTGTTTTCAAAGGAAGTACAGAGTAATTGCTATAATCGCTAAAAATCGAATCCATTCCGATTTGCTCCATGATAGGGAATCTGAACGAAAGGACGCGATCTCTCTTTTCGCCCTTTGTTTTCCCTATACATGTTACATCCTATCACAGACAGCCCTACGCTCGGAGATATCATCTGAGAAGCGATTAACGAGACTGAACTCACCGAACGAGCGTTTTTCCTTGTACGATCTCCTGGGTGTCAAATTCATGTTCGTGACGATATAACGTGCTATCACCTACTGGTAGTATTGCGACGTACGCGACGCGCTATCAGCTGTGCTATGGACTCGGTCTCGGGTCAAAATAACGTTAACGTGCACAGAGACGCCGTACGAAACGTCAGGTTGAGTTAGTCGGACGTGACGTAATATACGCAATACGTGCTCAGCCGCGTATGCATTTGCGGTACAGTGAGGGAGACTTCCATCGAATATTCGATTAATTTAATCGACGATTAGTTTGCTGAGTCAGTAATGTCTGCAGTATCTTGTTAACGTGGATAGAATTATTAATCTCTTGTCGTTTGACGCGAGGAAAGAAATGACGGATCAGGGACGAAACACATTTGCAATCGTGAATATTCGATCGCGAATTAATCGCCGATTTAATTAATCATAATTTAGCTGAAGTACTTTGATTAAAATTACTTATTACACACGCGCGCGATGAAAATGTATGATAAAAATTATCTGGAATTATTTCGAATATTATTTGAAATGAAACAATTTTTTAAATCCTACATGTTTTAAAAATGTTTTCTTCTCTTTTAGTAATATTTTACGTTATTATTTTTTTCAATCCACTCGATATTTTATTATATAAATAATAATTTCATTTTTTTTAGTTCTAAACATTTTGTATTTATATTTAAATACTTTTAAAAAAAGATTTCTTCGATGTCCAAAATTTTTTCAAGTTTTGCGAAATCTAAAAATTTCGAATAATGACGAAATAATTTCGTACCTTGAAAACTTTAAAAAGATGTAATATGTATTTCGCTCATGAATTTTAAAATCAATTTTCTTAAAAAAAAAATAAAAAATAGAAGATGATCCATAATATAACTTCTGTAACGTAAATTTTCTATGTAACGATTAATGCGACATTAACTAATAAAAGATCTTAGTCGTATCCTAACATTAACAGTAATCTCATTTCAATTTAATCTTTACTTTTATCTAATTTTAAGAATTATAAAAATTAGAAAAATTAGAAAAAAATAAGCAGTTAAACTAAAATTAAAGTAAATTTTACATTGCAAGTAGAACTGCCTAAAAAATGAGAAAAAAGTAAATAATTAAATCGAGATTAAAGTTAATCTTACGTTGATGGAATCGAGCCTAAGAATAATTCAAACCGTTAACTAATTAATATTGACGATTGATTTAAGTAATATCTGTATTAATCTTATTTTATTAATAGATAAGATTATTAAATTATTATAAATATTAAAGACTAACAAATATATAATTAATTATTTAAATCATTTATATTCTAGCTATCGTCAGTTCAATCGATTAAATTAGTCGCCAATCGATTTAATTAGTAATTATATACCTTATCAAATAATATAATATTATTTTGATAACATCAATAGAATTAGATTTTATAAAAGTTTACAATTATTAAGAATTATTATTATAGTTGTTATAAAATTATTAATCGTTATATTTTATTGTTTTACACACGATGAAAAAAATGTAATTAAAAATAATGACTTTTGTAGCTAAAAATTTTATTTTATGCAGTTTAATAATTTAAAC